CGTTTTAATCTGCGAGATCAAAGATAATGAGATTTTTTTGCTTTGCAACGGATGTGCAAGCAAGACACCAATCTGGTATATTGGTCTGCAGGCAGTCCTTGACTTATGACCACCCGTTTACTGAATGTATGAAGTTATGACTGCGCTGAAAGCTGTGACTTATGACTGGGTCCTTGCAATTAGAACTGGGGAGGGGGTTTCACGTGATCGCCCTTTTTTGCAACCTTCCCAGCCAATTGGCATGAGCAAAGTCAATGGGAGGGAAGCACGATTCGCTTAACAACCACTTCCCTGCACTGATTCACTTAATAACTTAGCAAAAACAAAAAAAATCAGCATGACATGCTTAACTTTGCTTAGCAAGAGAAATTCAGGTCCCAGTGGTGGTCATAAGTCAAGGACTACCTGGGGGAAGTGACAGGCACTTAATGATGGGGTGATTCACTTAACGACCGTGGCAAAACCAATAGCAGGAGCCAAAGTCGCTTCATCGGCATAGGAAAAAAAGGTTCCAAAATTGGATGGGGCTCTCTGAGTGACGACATTGCTTAGTCTAATTGTGGTCGTAAGCTGAGGACTCCCTGTACAGCATTGAGCCTGGATCTGCTTTTTCTGATGCGCAAATTTGCACTTCAGAGTGATCCACACAATGCAGGATGTGAAAAGGATGTTGTTTGTGACATACAACACAGGAAGTCTCCCCAGCATTGTTTAGTGACTCTTCGAAGTTACAACGGCACTGGAAAAAATGAGTTATGGCCATTTTTCACACTTATGATCATTGCAGCGTGTTCCCTGAAAAACCAGAATCTCTTAACAACCGTGGTACTACCTTAACAAGTGCAGTGGTTCGCTTAACGACCGATTCACAAGAAAGCTCGCAAAATCAGGCAAATCTCCCTTAACAACTCCTCTTGCTTAGCAGCAGAAGTTTTTGTGGCCATAAGTCGAGGACTGCCTGCACACAGCAAAACAAGAGGCCTGAATGATGATTTATTAGGCTGAAACCGACTGTAGTGCCTAATACAGGTGGTCCTCGACTTATAACAGTTTGTTTAGTGACCGTTCCAAGTTACAACGGCACTGGGGGAAAAAAAGGACTGTGGCCATTTTTCACGCTTACGACCATTAAGGCCATCGCCACAGTCACGGGGGGGTCAAAATCCAGTCGCTAGGCAACCGATTCATATTTATGACGGTTGCAGTGTTCCCTGGGTTACGCGACTCCCTTTAACGACCTTCTGACAAAGCAGCGTCAATGAGGAGGCCGGATTCACTTAACGACCATGCTACTGCGGTGGTTCGCTCGTGGTCGTAAGTGGAGGACTACCTGTATTTGATGGTCATTGGAAAAAAACGTGCTGGTTGTTTCAGGAAGCAGAGAGAAAGGAAGGATCTACGAACCCACAACGTTTGTTTACCTTGACTTTTATTGTGTGCTTTCGAAAGGCTACTTTAGAAGTAATCATTTTGTGGTTGTGTTATCTCCGGGTTGTTGGTTTTCTCCCCCCCCCCCCCCCCCCCCCCCCCTTTTCAACTTGGGTGTTCTGCTGTTTGGACGATCTGGAACCGAAAGAATCCGCCTTATCTTTTCCCAGGAGGTTTACATTTCAATTCTATATATTTTACAGCCTACAGTTTTATTGCCGCTGCGAGTTGTGGCTTCGGAGGACGAGAATCTTTTTCGAGGAAATAGCAGCTGATATGTGAATGTCTTCCTCGAACTTACGTCCGTCCGTTTAGTGAAGTCACGGAGGAGAAAACTGGCTTACGACCCGATCGTCACAGTTACAAAAAACAGGGCAGAATTTGCAGGATCCCGTGGACAAAATTCACGCACTCGGCAACCAGCGTGTACAGTTAGTCCTCGACTTACGACCGTCTGTTTAGTGACCGAAGTTGCAACGGCACTGAATAAATGGACTCAGGACTGTTTTTCACGCGGCCATTGCACCTCCAAGGTCAAAATTCACACGTTTGGCAACTGACTCGTATTTATGACGGTCGCAGTGTCCTCTGGGGGGGGGGCGTCAGGGGTTCCCCTTTTGCGACCTTCTGACAAGAAAAGTCAATGGGGAAGCCAGATTTGCCTAACGACCGTGCTGCAGTGATTCACTTAACAACGGTGGCAAGAAATGTCGTAAAATGAGGCAAAAGTCCCTTAACAGCGGTCTGTCTTAGCAAAAGAAACTTTGGGTTCAATTCTGGTTGTAAATCGAGGACAAACAATATCCATCAGGATTGCACAATCCTGGGATCACTTGATCGCCCTTTGTGGCCTTCCCATTGGACTTACAGCAAGCGGGGGGGAGCAGGATTAACGTCCATCCAATTCACTTAACAATGGTGACTCACTTAACAACCCAGCGAACGCAGCTTGCGAATTCTGACATGATTCGTTTACCAACCGCTTTGCTTACCGATAGAAATTATGCCCCCAATTGTGGTTGCAAATTCAAGGATTTTTCCGGGATCTGATCGGAAACATTGGGGGAGGGCGGAGGGGAAACTGAGGCAGGTGGAGGTGTGATCCCTCCTCCGCCCGCCTTATTGGGCCACCCTTGATTGGCGTTTTGGCTTCCGCCATTCTCTTCTTCACACACACACACACACAAACACACCTTCCCCAAGACTCGGGCAAGGGATGAATATCCAACAGGTTTGCTGGGAACGGAGAAAGTTCAACATTCGAGTCGCGACTTGTCTTGAGCCACGCAGCAAATCCGGTTTTTTGTGTATTCTTCCCCCCCACCTGCAACCACAGCAGAGAGAGAGAGAGAGAGAGAGAGAGNCACATTTGCTCTCAAACTGGGGAAAGATGAGTTTGCCAAGATGAAGAAGACTCCCCTTAAACATCTGCGTGAAAAGTCTAAATTTGTTGAACGGACAAGATGACTCACCTCAGGCAAGCTGCTATTGATGGTTTATTTTTAAACTGCAAAAAATACCTAAAATTCACGCTGTTCAATCTAGTGCAGGGATTAATTCCATCGAAGAAAAAGTCTATTTCGCGCCCTCCCCCCACTCCCAAGATATGGCAAGGGATAGGGTCTCTAGCCTTGGGAAGTGGGTTGGGCTAGATGACCTCTGAGGTCCCATTTCATCCCTACTACGTCTAGGTCTAAAAACAGCTGGACCACCGTCTCAAGAGGGAAGTCCCTTGGGGTGGCCCTCTGTTGCCATCGTCAACACCCAGCTATAAATATATAAATAGTCCTTGATTTATGACTTCAACGGGGGGGGGAACGACAGAATTTCCGTTGCTAATTGAGCTGGTGGTTCAGTGGGTCAGGCCTGCTTTTACAAACTTTCTCACCAGGGTTGCTAAGCAAATTTCCATCGCTAAGCAAGACGTGGTTAAATGAGGACTGCCCCATTTTGCAACCTTTTTTTGCCACGCCAATCGCTGCAGATGTTAAGTGAATCATGCAGTCGTTAAGTGAATCCGGTTTCTACTGCTGTTTTTGACATCAGAAGCCAGCTTGGAAATGATAGATGGTGATCACGTGACCCCGGGACTCTGCAACCGTCGTAAATATGAGTCCATTGCCAAGCATCCAAATTTTGATCATGTGACTATGGAGATGCTGTAGCAGTTGTAATTAAGAAAAATGGTTATAAGGCCCCTTTTTTTAGTGCCGTCGTAACTTCAAACGGTCATGAAATGAATGGTTGTAAGTCAAGGACTACCTATATTTTTTCGTTCACGGGGCATACGCTACATATCTAATTATTCATAACTAAAAAATGACAGTTTAGAAAGCTGTAATCTATAATTCATATTCATCCCATTGCCTTCTCTTATTGTTATGGTTATTGTGCTTATTATTACTTTGATATTATGATTATTACTTTGTTATTTTGCATGTACGCTGAGAGCACTGGATGCAAATTCCTTGTGTGTCTAATCACACTTGGTGAAATATAGCTGTCCCTTCCTCTCCTCTCCCCTCTGTTCTGTTCCGTTCCATTCCATTAACATATTGTCTATTCTATTCGATTCTGTTCCGTTCTGTTCCATATTCTGTTCTGTTCCATTCCGTACTATGTTCTGTTCCAATCCATTTTCTATTCTATTCTATTCTATTCCCTCCCATCCCTATTCCATTCCATTCCATTTATCCTATCCTACTCTATTTTATTCTGTTTTCTATTCCATTCCATTCCATTTTTATTCTATTCTATTCCATTCCATTCCATTCCCTCCCATCCCTATTCCATTCCATTCTGTTCCATTTATCCTATCCTACCCTATTTTATTCTGTTTTCTATTCCATTCCATTCCATTTCTATTCTATTCTATTCTATTCCATTCCCTCCCATCCCTATTCCCTTCCATTCATCCTATCCTACCCTATTTTATTCTGTTTTCTATTCCATTCCATTTTCTATTCTATTCTATTCTATTCTATTCCATTCCCTCCCATCCCTATTCCATTCCATTCTGTTCCATTTATCCTATCCT